GCCCACGGGTTCAAGACCCACCTGGGCAACTTGGTGAGACCTCATCTCTACAATAAATCAAAAAATTAGCCGGATGTGGTAGCGCACACCTATAGTTCCGGCTACTTTGAAGGTCGAGGTGGAAGGATCGCCGGAGCCCAGCAGGTCGAGGCTGCGGTGGCCGGGAGCGGCCGATGCCCTCCAGTCTGGGTGACAGAGTGAGACTCCAACTCAAAAAAAAAAAAAAAAATATATATATATATATATATGTATTTAAAAAATAGGAAATAGTGTATCACATGCAGAAAGGGTATCTTTATGTGAAACGAGTTTCAAGATGTGCGTGTCACACACACTTTGTGCGGAGTCGCGACGTAAAATGTGTTTCTTCCTGGGGCTCCAGGTCCAAGAAACTTGAAACCACTGCTTTAGTTTAAATCACAGTTCTTCGTCATTCTGTCCTTCGTGCTTCTCAACACCTTGGCTCCCTCTGAACCTCAAACGTGGCTTCCTCTGAGTCTCCCCTGTCCCGCCACACACACCCTCCACCCTTTCCTTCCCCTCCTCTTCCTTCTCTGAATCACAGCCCCGCTTGGCCTTCTGGGCCTCCCAGATCCCTGAGCCTAGCTCCTCTTCCCCAGCCCCTCCCGCTAGGATGCCAGGTGCCTGCCAAGTGAAGACTGGGAGTTGCTTCCAGTGCTGGTCGTCGCTGGGCCTGGGAGGAAAGGAGTGGGCGGCCGAGGAACGGGGTTTAGCATCTACAGTCAGAACAGGCGCTGGGTGCAGTACCAAGTGGGGTAAGGTTAGGGATTGGGGGTCAGTTCTGAGGGAAAGACATTCCTGAGAGGGGAGAGGGATTAAGCTGGAGGGAGGATGAAGAGGAGAGAAAGAATGAAAGAATGCCTGAAGGGGAGTCCCTGGAACAGTCAGCAATCAAAGGAGCGTCCTTCAAGGGCGAGCACAGAAGAGAAGTGGCCTGGGGCAGGTGAAGGTCAGACCGGAGGAGGCCGGAAATGATGTTGGTGGTAGGGACCCAGTCCCATGAGGCCTAGGCCGGCATCTGCAGATAGAGGTTTTCCACTCCTCTGCTGAGTGAGCTCTTGGAGGCCCATGAAGTGAGTAACCTGGCTTGCTCAGAACTACGCTGACTTAGCTGGGGTCCTCATTACTTCAGCCAGCAGGCCCCTGTGGCCTTATTCCTTGCAACTTTCACCCTGGTAGGGTCTGGGTAGGGTCTGAGGGATGTCCGCTTTGCAGGAGAAAGCCTGAGGTCTGGGCTGGGCCTCAAAGACACCCAGAACCCTCTTTAACACAGCCCCATCCTCTGTCCCTCTGTCATGTTGAGAGCAGAGAAAATTAACAGGCCTCTCCACCAGCTCACCAGCTCTCTCCTTACACCGGAACTCCAAGACAGAAGGGAAATGGTCAATATCACCCAAAGTCTTATCCTTGAAAGTATCTTAGCGGCTCAGCATTGAAGTCCTGGGCTGGGTTGGCATGACCAGGGACTCAGAGAGGCTCTAATTCTCTCTGCCAATCTCTGTGCCTCAGTTTTCTCAGGAGAGCAGGTCTGGGAGTCACATCGCCTTGGGCTGTGTTTGGTCCTGGTCAAGATGAGAAACCAAACCATCTCCCCTCTCTGGGGATTCTGCTTCCTCCTCTGTGCAAGAAGGGCTGTGGAATGACATCACACACTTTACAAATAAACAGTTCTGGAACAAGTGTTGCCAAATTCAGACAGGTAAAGGGCATAAGCAAAGCTTGCCAGGCGTAATAGCAGGGAGTAACAGGGATGTGGCAAACGGGGGGATCCTTGCTGTGTCTCAAGGGGAAGCTACTACTTCATGCCACACAATGGAGAAGCTGGAGATCTGACATTTTATGTGAAATATTCAAAATTTTGAATGTGAGCACCTAACTTCAAAATGTTCAACCACCATGCAGGCCAAGCGAAAATGTCTGTGGGCCTGACTCAGCCTGCTGGTACCAGCTTCATCCAAGTGGTTCTCAAACTTGAGTGTGTATCAGAGTCACCCAGAAGGTTTGTTAAAACACAGATTGCTGGGCCCACCCTAGAGTTTCTGATTCCATAGGTCTGGGCGGGGCCTGGGAAGCAGGTCCCAGGTAATGCAGATGCAGCTAACCCAGGAAACACACTTTGAGAACCACTGCTCTACCGTGATGAAATCCACAACCACCCCCCGTGTTACTTATTCTTTCCGTGATACCAAAGCCACCTCCATGGTACATGATGGAGCTTGTAGGCCCCTACTTTGACAATTTGATTGATGATGATGATGAAGATGGTGATGATGATGATAGATGAAGCATGAGGAGGGACCCAAAAAAAATCTCAGAATTCAGAATTTCTTTCCCTTTTTTTTTTTTGAGTTGGAGTTTCACTCCGTTGCCCAGACTAGAGTGCAGTGGCACGCTCCCAGCCACCGCAGCCTCGACCTGGTGGGCTCAGGAGATCCTTCCACCTCAGACTTCCAAGTAGCTGGAACTATAGGCGTGTGCTACCACGCCCGGCTAATTTTGATTTATTGTAGAGATGAGGTCTTGCCAAGTTGCCCGGGCGGGTCTCGAACCTGTG